AACCTCCTCTCCCTCCCCAAGCCTTGTGCACTTTCCCCCAGTTTACTAGTAGGCAACAGGACATTTTCCAAATGGGAAAGCATGCCCGGATACTGCGTTTGAATATCTTTCCTTTTAAGTTCTTCTGCCTGCACCCTTCAACTTGAGAGTCCCAACTGAAAGGTTAGAATGTCTTTCTGCAGCCCTATCAAAATTTTACCCATGAACTACCTTAGAGGTCTATCAACAGGAAGGAGTTACAATGTTACAATGGAGATATTTCCACATCTGAAATGGCCTATCTGCAGACCAAAGCATGGTCGTGTCAGCATGCCAAAAGCAAGAGAATCCATGCTGATTGTGGCTGCCTCTGTTTCCCCAATGGTGACTGGGAACCTTGGAATGAGAACATCCCTCAACACAGGCATCTTTTCCACCAGACAAGGCTGGTGCTAGGGAAGCCAGGAGTGACCCTGCTTCCTGGCCACCCTAGGTCTCACAATCGCATTCTGTGTGTTCAGTCATCTCTTTAGTAGTCTATTGGACAGCACAGTTGAAGTAGGCAGTGGGCGAAAGCTACGTGGTTACTGTCTCAGATTTCACATGTGGTTACTGTAGCAGCTTGGATATGTACCGTCTCCCCAAGGGAAGCACAGTCTCCAGCCCTGGCAACTACTGGCAGGTGATGCACGCTCTAAGAGGCAGGGACCAGTGAGAGCCTTCTGATCCCTGGAGGTGTGTCCCTAAAGGAGCTGATAGAAACTTGGTCTTCTTTTCTCTCTCAGGACAAAGGCAAATTTGCTCCACCAGGTACACCTGCCATGATTTGCTTCCCCAGTCCCAAACCAGCAGAGCCAAATGATCTTACACTGAAGCCTCCAATACTGTAAGAAAAAAAAAATCCATCTTTTCTCTTTGTGGGTTTGTTATCTCTGATATTCATATAGTCATCGGAGGCTACAAAGTTGTACAAGGAGCCCTGCGTTTATCTTTTCAACCTTGATAGGAAGCTAAGCCAATGCATCCTTTCTCTATCCACTAATTGAAGGAAGTGTTACCTGGCAACCAGGAAGGAGGCTCCCTTGAAAGGGCAAGAAAGCCAGCCTGGGGCCCTCTGAGGCCTCACTTTGGAAGCAAAGGACAGCATCAGTCTAGCTCCTAGGAAAGTGGAACTCAGCTGAAAGGAATTCTTTGATAAAGAAATTAAAGTTTTCCTTTGAATTTTGAGGGGCTTTTCTTAGCTTTTGGCAAAATCCCAGACTACCGTGAAATAGAACACACGTTGAGGAGTGTGCAAGACATATTGACGACGATGAAGCAGGCGTCCAGGTGCCCACTACTGTGATGGGAGCCAAGGTATCCGCGCATGGCCAGTACTGTTTAGGGAGCCATGTGTATGTTTGTTGCTATATATAAAAACTACTCACTTTATTTTATATGGGTGTGTGCTTTGCCCGTGTGTATGTATGTGCACTATGGGTGTGCCTGGTGCCTGTGGAGGTCAGAAGAGGGCATCAGATCTCCTGGGACTGGAATTATAGACGGTTTTGAGCCACCGCATGGGTGCTAGGAATGGAACCTGGTTCCTCTTCAAGAGCAGTAAGTAGCCTTAACCTCTGAGTCACTTATTTAAATTTTGAAGCAGGGTAAATAAAAATGACCCAAATAGTGGGTTTTTAAGCACTGGTATTATTTTGCCAGAATAACTGGGGCTTTATTTGTCTCAAGCAGCAAGGCATAACTACTTCCTTCCCCTCCAGAAAGACAAGCAGGCACGTGAAACAAATGCTTTCAATTTCAGTGAAAACAGGAGGATTCCTTTCAAAGGCTACAGTGAGAGATAGACAGACAATAGACAGGCATGGATGTTTCAGATTTTAAAAACTTATTAACGTTAGATCTCCTGGGACTGGCATTATAGGCAATTCTGAGCCACCATATTGGGCTGGGAATAGAATTTGTTTCTTCTACAAGAGCAGTAAGTGCTCTTAACCACTGAGCCATTTCATTCAATGCAGGACACCTCATCACTTTTGAATGGAGGTCCGAGTACAATTATTATTATAAGGTAATAAATTGGGGCCCAATTCCAGATAGAAAGCGAAGGCACACAAAAGTTGTTTCTCTTAGAACACACTGTACTAGCTCCACTGTAGCCTCCTGTTGTCTCAACAAGCACCTTGTTAGCAGACTTCTCCTGTCTGTTAACTGAGTGCATTTTTGCTTGAGTAAGTCCAGAAAGCAAACAGACTCTTGCCTGTTAGTTTTATTATGCTTATTTATATGTTGTAGCTTCTTTTCTTGTTTTTGGTTTTGTTTTGTTTTCTAGACAGAGTTTCTTAATTCAACAGCCCTAGCTGTCCTAGAACTTGCTCTGTAGACCAGGCTGGCCTCACACTCACAGAGATCCCCCTGCTTCTGCCTCCTGAGTGCTGAGATTAAAGGTGTGCACCACCACTGCCCAGCTATGTGCAGCTTCTTAGTAATACTCAAAATATGAAGAAAAATGAGCTTATGATTATAAATGAAATTAGCAACATAGTACCAAATTCAAGAATACAAAACTTCAGAGAAGCTTGCCAGGACATCACATCTGTTTCTAGTGTTTCTTTCCCCAGCTTTTGTTACTCCCAGATGAGGTAGAGTTCTATTTCCAGGCAAAATTCAGAAAAAGATACAACAGTGGTTCTCAACGTATGGGTCACGACTGTTGTAGACTATTTCTTTAACTAGGCAAATATGTGTTACATTTGTTTATGCTGTGGAATATCATTTCAACTGTTTAAAGGTGTGCCACATTTGTTTAGTTATGTAAAGGTGTGTTGCTGTTTCACCTTGCCTGACTAAGGCACCTGATTAGTCTAATAAAAAAGCTGAGAGGCCAATAGCTAGGCAGGAAAAGGATAGGTGGGGCTGGCAGGCAGAGAAAATAAATAGTATGAGGAATTTAGGCTGGAGAGAAGAAGATGAGAGAATAAGGAAGAGAGGGTGATGCCTGGAGCCAGGAGGTAGTATGTATGGAGTAGGACATACAGAAATAAAGGTACAAAACAAAACGTAGATAAAGAGAAACAGGTTAATTTAAGTTAAAGGAAAAAAAGCCAGAAATGAGCACATGTTAAGGCTGAAAATGCATAACCAATAAGTTTCTGTATCTTGATTTGGGAGCTGGTTGGGAGCCCAAGAGAAAAAGCCCATTACAACACTTTTGTAGGTTGCATTATCAGATATCCTACATATCAGATATCTGCATTCCAATCAATAACCGTTGCAAAATTACAGTAATGAAGTAGCAACAAAAATAGTTGCTCACCACAACACTAGGAACTGTATTAAAGGGTCGTAGCATTAAGAAGCTTATGACCACTGAGTCATAAGCCCTCTGGAAGATAATTTAAAAATGAACAGGAAACAGGAAAGGTTCTGTTGGGTTTCCTCCTGCTTTCGGGTGTCTCGGGAAGAACAGGAGGCTCCGTGTTGAGCCTTGCTTTCTGCATAGATTCACCTAGTGTTCAGCACTATGAACTTTTTTTCTTTGGCCAAAGGTTAAAAGGGTAAATTTCCAAAATTCTGAACAGATTTGACAAGTCGTTACTCATGTTTATGGGAGCGCACAGTTGCCAGCTGCAGTTACCCAGATAGATCTTATGTCAGAGACTGGTCACCCTACTAACCGCATCGTTGCCTAGGAACCAGTGGAGAAATGCCAGGCAGCTCTGCCCACGCCTGCCCTAGGGATCCCAAGGGTCCAAATGAATCGATTCCAACTGTAGCCAAGAAGCATCTATAGAGGAAGCTGGCAGAGACTTTTGATGGGCACTGGGTACCATAGATGCATGTTACACCACCAAGTTAAGATGAAGAACAGGCTGTAGACCGGCTTTTCGTTCTCCCCTAGAGAGGATTTTCATTGCTCTGCAATTATATATTCAGCTACAAATCAGACATGGTGCTAGTTCGTTCTACCTAGCAAAGGTCCCAGGTGAGAGACACGGGTGCCAATGATTTTAGGAGGAAGGCGGGAAGGACTGATTAAAAAAGCTCTCGCTCTTGTTTGCAAAGCACATCCAGAGCTGTGTCTAGACAGTCTCAAAAATCCAAAGCCCTTGAGAGCAGAACTGTGAGAGGGGATTGAGATGCAAGCCCAGACAGACAGCTGGATCCCAGGTAAATCAAAGGCAGTTGACCCGGTGAGAATCCACTTGGCGAGACAGATAAGAGCTGGGAGTTCCCCGTTGGGGCCCTAGCATTCTGCTTCCTGGCATGAGGGCCCGCAGAATGACAGCTTAAGCAGCTGACTTCCAGCAAGGGAAGCCATGGGTGTGCCAGGTTGCTTAGGAAAACGACAGGGTTGACACCTGGGTGGGAACTGAACCAGGCAGCCTCTGAGAGGCTCATGCACAGAAGACTTTTGGTACACCACACCCCTTGCACAAAGAGAAATCTTGCATAAATAGAAAGAATTGTCTCAGTAATTCTGCCAACCAAGTCTACCCTGGGTGCTTAGCATGAACTAAAGATAATGTACAGTTTTCTAAAGAGAAGAATTAAGAGGAGGCAGAAAAAATGAGAAGTCTAAGAGATGACGTGGGAAGTGTGTGAGTGTGTGTATAAATTTCTCCAGCATTAATTTACAAAAGAAATAGTCATGCTTTTCCCTTAAACTTGGATTGAACCCTGACCCTGGTTAAAGAAGTTCAATGTGGGGATGAAGAGATGGCTCAGTGGCTAAGAGCACTTGTTGCTCTTGCAAAGGACCCAGGTCTGGTTACCAGGACCCACATGGCAGCTCACAACCATCTATAACTCCTAGGGGATCTTATGACCTCTGTGGGCACCAGGAATGCACAAAGTGCATAGGCATACATGTAAGCAAAACACACAGACACATAAAATAGAACAAAATAAATCTTGAAAGGGGGCAAATTTGATATTGGTGGTGCAGACATTATTTAGACTACAAGACACCATGCTGGCTCACATAGGTGTCTGGACTGAGACTGTTGGGGGCTCTCAGGTACCTGTTTTGGTCAAGGGGATTGAGAACAGTTGCTGAAGAAGTTTGTTCTCAGATGTCCTCAGGACTACAACCACATCAGCAGGGAGAGTGTCTCTGTTTTTCTCAAGAACCCCAGAAGCATCATACAGTACCTGGAAAACACAGCAAAGTGTCCAAGTTAACTAAGGCAAGTGGCTACGGCTAGTGACCCTGGCAGAACGTCTGAGTAGCCATTGTTCAGCACTGGCTATAACTATCCTCTTACACTTGGGCTTTTGGCTACAGAGCACCAGATAAAAAGGAGGAGTTGTACTTTTGACAGGTCAGTTTGTCTTGGCTTCTTGTCCAGTTATCTTTGAAGAAAAGTGGTCCTACTGAAGATACAGCACATCAGAGAAATTCTTAAAATACACTGAGTGTCACGTTTGAAACACCCATCCTCATTCTACTGATAGGTAAACAGGAGCTCAGCAAAGGCCTGAAGGAGGTAAGAGTCCGGTGATCATCATACTGGGACAGATGGGCTTTTAGCTCATGACCACCACGCCTCACTGCCTCTCAAAGTACTCATGGAATCTGAGTGATCACTCAAAGAGTCTAAATGGTTCTTGGTCCTCAGCAATGAGGGAATCCAACTTAGAGGTATCTTAAGGGAATATCAACAACTCACTGGAGTGGTATGGTGGTTTGAATGAGGATGCCCCACATAGACTCATACACTTGCAAGTTTGGTTCCCACTTTGGTGACCTGGGAAAGATTAGCAGGTGTAACCTTGTTGGAGTAGGTATGTCACTGGAGGTTGGCTCTGAGGTTTCCAAAACCCATTCCAGGCCCAGTCTGACTTTTCTTTCTTTCTTTCTTTCTTTCTTTCTTTCTTTCTTTCTTTCTTTCTTTCTTCCTTCCTTCCTTCCTTCCTTCCTTCCTTCCTTTCTTTCTTTCTTTCTTTCTATCATCTACCTATCTATCTCTCTGTGTGTCTCTCTGTCTCTCTCTTTCTCTATGCCTGTGACCATACTTTCTGCCATGGTGGTCATGGGCACACCCTCCAAAACTGTAAGCAAGCCCCCAATTAAATTATTTCTTTTAAAAGTTGCCTTAGTCATGGTGTCTCTTCATAGCAATAGCAACCTTAACTAAGAAAAGTAGTAAATAAGTTCAGCAAAGAATTCACAAACCAGAGAGAAAGGGATCCTAGGAAGAAAAAAAAGAGGTACAGGTAGAAAAATATGCATAAGAGGAAAAGATGGAAAAAGGCAAGAGGAAGAGGACAAGACAGAGACATAGGGGATGAAGGGGACACGTTTACTTTTAACTGAGGATATAGATATGGAAGATAATTTGGATACATCACACATCAGTGGAATAATCCCAAATACCTCTTGTTGAACCCCAGCCATTTTCTGGATTTAGGGCCTCAATAAACCTCACAAGAGTTTGTCACAGTTCATTTGGTTTATCTGGGAGAAACACAGCAGTGAGCTGACAGCTCTGAGCTGGACAGTTTTCTAAATTAGTCACCAGTCAGCTTCAGGGACTTGAACTGAGACAGAAACATGGTACAAGAAAAGTGGGAGTTCCAGTTTATGTGGTAAAAACACAGCTGGGTGGGTGGGATTGCGTCCTTTTGCTGGACACTTCCAGTGGTCCATAGACACTAAAGTGTTCTCAACCATCCTATGTCAGCCGCACTCCATCCCAATGACTTCAGAATGTGAACATTTACCATGAACCCCTGCAAAAGCTGCAGTATGCTTCCTGTCTAGAGAGCCGTCAGCTCTGGGCCAGCCTTCCAGGCAGGAAGCTTGTGGTAGCTCCATGGGCCACCACATCTGTACACGGCACCACTGAGGGCACTTGGGAATTATGATCAGAATCAAAAGGGAGGATGCCAGAAGTTTAGACACAAATCTCTTGTCATTCTTGGGTCCCCTAACTTTTGTCCCTCTCACCGGTCCAGCGTAGTGTTGAATGCCAAAGCAGAGCTCCACTCCTTTGGGCCTCCAGAAGAACTTGCACCGTAGGTTATCTTCAAATTTATCTGTGTGCAGAGAAGAGGAGACTGGAGTGCTCATCCCCGTGTTGCGTTCCTTTAGCTGTTAGTAAGTCACAGTCCCTTCCTGTCTCTAGTAAATACTAAGTACAGACACCCGAGACAATCTCAGACCCTGCCAAGGAGCTTTGGAACCATGCAGCTAGGGTAGGAGGGCAGATAGCTCCAGATTAACTTCCTCTGGACAATGTGCAGATAAGAGAAAGCCACTGGTATTAACAGCTTCAACACTTAGAAATGAGACTCTCATACTTCCACTGAGGAAGGAACTTGAAAATTTCTACACTCCCCCACAAACAACTTTTACATTATTGTAGACCTGACTGAGAGCTGAGTGTGAGGAACTGTGCTAGGTACTGAAGGCAGACAAGGACTGGGGCCCAAGGGCGTCTCACATCACAATACAGGTAAAAAACAAAGTTCATTTAAACTGAAAGGATTATGCAGGATGGGGACGAGGCCTAATGTGGGCAAGGTAGAGAAATTGGATATGGACTGGCAAGATGGTTCAGTCAGTAAAGGTACTTGCCACCAAGCCCGATGACCCAAGTTCAAACACGAGGTAGAGGGAAAGGACAAACTCCTGCAGGTTGTCCTCTGACTGCCTCCTACACATGAGACAGACAGAGGGATGGATGGATGGATGGACAGACGGATGGATGGATGGGTGGATGAATGGATGGATGGATGGATGGATGGATGGACAGACGGACAGATGGATGGGTGGATGAATGGATGGATGGATGGATGGATGGATGGACAGATGGATGGGTGGATGAATGGATGGATGGATGGACAGACAGACAGACGGACGGGTGGATGAATGGATGGATGGATGGATGGACGGATGGACGGATGGATGGACAGATTGATGAACAGACAGACGGATGGATAGATGGATGGATAGATGGATGGATGGACAGACAGACGGATGGATAGATGGATGGATGGACGGACAAATGGAAGGATGGATAGACAGGTAGATAGATAAGAAGATAGCTAAGTAGATGGATATGAAAAATAGGGACGTCAGATGCTGAAGAGGTACATAGCTCTATCCAGAAGACACTGGTAACCCAAGAAGAGGTGGCTTTAGAAAGACTAAACCAGCAGGAATGTCTACAGAAAAGGGGACACTGTACAACCTGGGACTAGAGGTAGATAGGAGCCCCGGTGAAGACATGACATGACACAGGTCTGCAATGAGGATATAAGGAACCACTTCTTAGCCTTTGGGCTAAGATAACGTGTAGAAGGGAGAACTCGGGCAGAGGAAGGTATAAGATGATATACGCATAAGGAAATAATAACATTATTATATTATAATATTATAGGATGGGGAGAACATAGAAATGGTGATAGATTTTTTAATTTAAATCTATTTGTATTTGTGTGTGTATGCATGTTCCTGTGTGTGTATGTATATGTGTTATTGTGTGTATGCGTGTTCCTGCTTGTCTGTATGTGCACTGTCTGCATGCAGGTGCCAGAGGAAGCCAGAAGATGGTGTTGGAACCTCTGTGGAGTTAAGGGTTGTAAGTTGCCCGACGAGTGATGGGAACTGAACCCATGTTCTCAGTAAGGACAGCAGGTCCTCTTAGCCTCTGAGCGACCTCTCCAGCCCCCCAAGATCTATACTTTTATAACCCACTAAGTGTCCAAAGTGAGACAGAGACACTCCTTCTTAAAACTTAAAACACATCCACCTTGTGTCTTGTGCCAGCTTCCACACACAATCTGAGTATCTTTTCCCTGAGCGGTACCTACCGACCAAGGTCTGGTCTGTTGCTTGGGGAAAACGACTTTCCTCATCCAGAAGGGCAAGAAGGCCCAAGGGTTTTTGGAGGAACATGTCCAGGAGCGGGCGATTGTCCTCATACTGCACAGGGACAGCATCAATGCCTTCGTTCTGGTACTCCATCTGGAGGGAAACAGACCGTGACTCCATGGCCTGAAACCAGCCTCCGTCCCACCATCACAGTTTAGCCTGGACTTTCTGGGTCAGGTGGAAGTGCCCCGTGAGGCAAGGTACCTTTCCATGGAAATCGGGACCTTTTTATTTTCCCCAGACTAAATTTACACTGTTTGTTTTGACAGGACTATCTCTCTATTGGTGTTTCTGTAGCCTTGACGACCAGGTTTGGCTTCAGATTGTGGGCAGCCGGGCAATCCTCCCCCGGCGCCCCGCCCCGTTACTCTCAGCTTCCGCTTCAACCACTACCTGCTCGAGAGCGAACACGTGCTGATTGAAGTAGAACTGGATCTGCTCGTTGGCGATATTTATGCAGAGCTGTTCAAAGGAATTCCTCTGGAAATCCTCGAAGCCAAAAATGTCCAAGATGCCCACGTTCATCCTGTCCTCGGCACTGCTGCAAGAGAGAGAACATGTCAGGAGAAGTTGCACCCGATACATGCTATCTCAAAATAAGGAGTGTATAAGTTCATACGTCCACCAACATGTAACCTCGGCATTCAGGAGGCTAAGGGCTGTCAGGAGTTAGAAGTCACCCTGGCTACAGAGCAGGACTCTACCTTAATATATATCATCGGGCACAAACCTGGTTTACCTAGCTCCCCGCCACGCCTCCCCCCTGCAGTGGCTCCATCCCCCATTCTCCTCTCAGGAATAAATGCTTCAACTCTCCTGGCTCCCACTTGCCATATGTTTTTATCTGGCTGCAGGAGTGTGTTGACGCGATTCACAATCCAGCTGAAGAGTCTCCCATAGAGGGCCTTAGACATGGCGTCCCTGACGTCTGCAGCCCTGTCCACGGTGTTGGCTCGCACAATGGTCTCGCCTCGGGTGACCACACAGTAGGACGTGAGAGCCTCCTGAAGCTCTTCAGGGCTGATGCAGAGTACATAGGCAGCTGGAAAAAAGAGTAAATACGATCTTAAACATGAGGCCACATGTTCACACAGCCCATGCCAGCATCTACAGCATCCAGGCTTCATGGTCCAGACAAGCAAGGTTCCTAACTTCAAGAAGCATCTAGACTGTACAGCACAACTCCCAACTGTTCTGAATGTTCCCCACAAGTATTTAGTAAGTAAGGTGGGAGAACTAAGGAGGGAGAGATCTTTTATCAAATAAATTGGAAGACTAGACAGTCACAAACACATTGGGTATGAATGACCTTAAATAGAGTGCTGTAGCTTAAAACAAAGAGTTTTTGTTTTTTTGGGTTTTTTTATTCTTTTTTTTTTTTTTTTTTTTTTTTTTGTTTTTTTTTTTTTATT